TAGACTCTCAACCCTAAGCCTCTGAGCCCAAAACCCTAAACCTCTGAACCCAAAACCCTAAACCTCTGACCCCAAAACCCTAAGCCCTAAACCCCTGAAGCCAGCACCTTCACAACCTGGAGCCCCTAAACCCTAAACCCTAAGCCGTGCGGCGTATGATTTAGGATTTTGGGGCTTAGGGCTTCATGGTACTGGGTTTGCCCATAGGGGCTGAGGGCCGGCAGCGCACATCCTTCACTTTCCCGCCCCGGCCTCCCCGGCCACAAGAAGGCCGAAACCGGAAATGCTCAGTCAAGGAGGTTTTGAATTCCTCGTAGTTCCGTTTCTCGTGCTCCGGGCTTCCTTCTTGTGGGGCGTCTTCGGGTGTAGGCGTTGCAAAAAGTTGCAACTTACAGTTGCTGAGGCCGGCATCATTTACCCTATACCCTAATAAACCCCCGTAAACCTAAACCCTAAACACTTAAAAAGCAAATCCAAATCCCCCTAGCCAACGATGAGGGGACCCCCAATATCAGGGAACTCTGCCCCTCGGCCTCCAGAGCTTAGAAACTACGGGAAGTAGAAGTCTCTATCATCTTATGATTTGACGGAATATAATATAGTATAATATAATATATTACAATATAAAAACAACGCAATCTAGTATAGTATAATATAATATAGCAGAGCAGAGTATTATGTTTATAGTGAAATATAAAAAGATATGATGCAATATAATATCTTATAATACCATAAAAAATCATATAGTACAATATGACATAACATAATATATGTTAATGGTGTATAATAAAGATCATTTAATACAATATAACATAATATAGCATAGTATACTGGCAGATAATATAATACAATATCATACATATAGTATAGCATAATACACTGCGATATAACACAATTTACTAAATATAATATAACATAACATAACATAGTATAATATAATATACTAAAACTGCTATATTATACTTTGTAATACAATACATACATAATACAATATATACATACTGTCGTCGTAATACACTTATATATATATATATATTCATAAATATGTCTTCAAGTATGTTATTTCACAGATTCGGTCACTCTGCCTCCACAGCGCACGCCCACAGCAATGTTCGAGAATCCTGGAAGCTCGGGTCCCATCTCCGATGCTTTGCTAAGTCGCGCACGCGGCCACGGGCGCTCAGCGGGAGAGCTCGTCGCCCGGGCCCAGTGCACAGCGGTTCAAGCACAGCACCACAGGCAAAGCTGGAGACCGGACGACAGGGAGTACGAACAGCCGCAGTCCTCGCAGTCAGAGATCTGAACAGAAGTAGCACTGTTAAGGAGCTGTCGGAGCCTTTGGCAGACCCGAGCCAGTCCCAAAACTCTGAGCTCCAAGGCAAATTTGAACCTAAATCACTGTATGGGGTGATTCATGAGTTTTATAGGGGCTTGAAGGCTTGCTTCTTGTCCCTTCAGGCGGACCTCCTTCCCATGGACAAGACCGGTTGGCAAATCGTCAAGGTTCGGGAAACCACCAAAGCCTAAACCCCTAAGGCCCTAAGCTTAGGGTCGCAGGCCGTGATGCTTTTGTTCGAAGTGTGTCTTCTTACTGCATTGACAGTAGCTCCCAGAGGTGTACGAGGGTCTTCATGCGCTTGAATTGGGAAAGAAGGGCTCAAGCACAGTGCTTCCTTGTTTAGAGCCAGAGGGATTCCATTTCTTCAGGAAGCGTTTTGAGGCTTGCTTCAGCAACGAGGATAGAACCTATCGGCTTGCTTTTGGCTGATTGAGGAAGCCCGAAACGCAGGAAGCCAATGAGATCCTCATGGATGACCGTGAGCTGCAGGTCCACATTTTCGGAGCTCAGTGAATCGGCGTTAGGGTTCAGGCGACACGGTACTGGGTCAAGGGTTGGAGGTTTCGGACGGGTTTTGGTGCGGGGTTGCTGAGCATAAAGGGGCTTGGGTTGTAGAGTACAAGAAGCGCTTGGGGGCGTGACAGAAGCGAGGGTTTCATTCATAATCGTAGGTTTAGTCAGGTAAGACTGCTCCCCTTGTGCCTATTGCCACTACCCGAAGACTTCTCGTGGGTAAGAAAAGTATCGCGAGCGTACTCGCATGATTCGTCATTGCCGTCATTATGGCCAGATTATCCATCATCGTCATGGCCACCCTACCTCGCGAAGGCTGGCAACACCATCACCATCACCCTGGTCATCATTATCGTTCTATTCTGTTCATCCTCGTGGCAGTATCTGCAACAAATGACAAATGGCATCAGACGATGATAGCAATCTAGGCACCAAACAGCCCTATGACAACAGGCAAGCGGCAAGATGTCATGAAGTCGTACAGGTATCACAAGCCACAGAGCGCACGTAAGTTCCGAAGCCCGTAACCGCAGGTGAAACCCCGAGCTGCGAAGTCAGCTTGATGCTTTCAGTACCACAGAAGTCTGAAAGAACTGGTATTTGTGCTTCAGTGTTGTTTTTTTTTCTTTTTGGGTGAGTCGCATTCGAAGTATTCGGTTGAGGGCTTGGGATTCGCAGGAGATCATGAAGAAGTTCCGCTTCAGGGGCGACCGTTGGCGGCCGAGCATGCAGCATCTCTTTTCTTGGCTTCGTACCTGCAGCCTTTTCATACGATGATTTGATCAGCTGCTAGTTCGCTGCTGAACTCCTGCTCCTACACAGTAGCCGGAAAGCTTGAACCCTAAGCCCGGAAGCCCTGTAAGGGTTTAGGATTTCCGGGTACCCGGAGCTCCGGAGCTCCGAGGTATGCACGTGAAGGTCGCCAGCCTGTCCGGGGGAGAGAAAGCGCGCCTTGCCATCGTGGCCGCCTCAGGGAGCTGGGTTCGTTATTGACCACCCGCCCTTTTTAAGGCGTTCCTACCCATAGGCCCCACAGTAGTTCCTTTTTGGGGTTCAAAATTAGAATCCTATCAGGTAATCCCGAAAAGGAACTACTATGGGGCCTACGGCGTATGGGTATTCTAGAACCCTATAGTACCTATAGCACCCTTTTTTGCAGTGGGGAACCCCGTGGTATCCTGTAAATGGGGCCCTTTTCTAGAATCAAATAGTACCTTTAAGGGCCAATGAGGGCTAATGACTAATGGCCCAATATCAGGACACCGGTTGGTGCAGAAAGCTAGGAGTCGCCTCAGGTACACCGGTATAATTTAGGGGCCTTAATGATTATAATAGGGTTTTGAGGCCCTTTATATTATAATCATATTCAGAAGCCTTCCAAAATGGTATTGGTAATTATTCAGGCTCCACTGAAGGCTAGATCTTCCAAAGCTCCGGTCAACAGGAACCCGAGGTCAGACCTCTAACCCGATCCGGACAGGCCAAACTGAAGTGCCTAATATAGGGGCCTAAATAATTAGTAATACTATTTTTTTTGTGGGGGGTGTTCCTTATTATAATTATAATAGCCCTATTCTAATTATTACGGCCCCTACATTACTTGAGCGCCGAGGGTTTCGAAACTGGCTCAAGAGCAGCTGAGCGTTTTTAATGGCCATCGAAGATTCCCAGCTCGACTAGGCTGACACTCAACTAGACGATTTTCCCGAAGACCGACAATGAAGCTTCCAGGGCTCCAGGGTTCGGGTCGATTGATGGCTTTTTGGGGTTTAGGGCTTCGGGGGGGGGGTGGGGGGGAAACTTCGGGTTTAGGGTTGAGGGTTTGAGGCTTTTCCCACAGTTCGCAGTCTAGCAGCTGTATCGCACGCTGTTTCGATTTCCCCAATCAAAGCCTCAAGACTCAGGTGAGGATGATGCTGATCCCTTCGCGGATGCTGATCTTCGATGAGCCGACCAACCATCTCGATGTGCCCATGAAGGCCTCCTCGGTAGAAGCCTTTTGGGGTTCATGGGCCTCCGAAATGTAGAAAAACGGGATCGGGGAGGAAGACCTTCCAGCGCCCAAGCCCTTAACCCCCTGAAAACCCTAAACCCTAAACTGAATGAATGGGGGTCAGGAGACTTTCTGCACCTTCAGAATCTGGACCTGACTGACGTCCTCAGCCAAGCCCCCATTCGCCAAGAAAACCTCGAAAAGCCCTCCAAAACAAGCCAACACCCCTAAACCCTAAATGCCCTAAATATAAGGCCCGGACCTCATAAGCCCTTAAACCTCATAGACCCCTATAAATCCCCATCAACCCTCCCCTACGATCTACCCATAGGCTCCATTCTAGTTCCTTTTTGGGGGTGTACCTTGTAGGATCTTCCATATAAACCACAAAATGGAACTAGAATGGAGCCTAATATGGGGGCCTTACTTATCACCTATACTATTTTGGGGTTCCTTGTTATAGTTGTGGTATAGTGGGTCCCAAAACCCTATTCTTTTTGCTAAGGCCCTAAACCCTAAACCCTTACAGTAGCCCTTATACATAGAACCCTTTTAGGAACCCTCGTAAAGGAAGCCCAAAACCCTGTTCTAATCATTAAGGCCACTAAACCCTAAACACTAAGCCAAAACCCTATTCTAATTATTAAGGGCCCCAACAGTACGGGAAGGAGACGTTAGAGTTCGCCCTCCGAGAGTACGGCGGAGCCGTCGTCGTCGTGAGCCACGACAGGTCTGGGATTAAGCCTTAAGTTTTAGGGTTTTAAGGTTTAGGGTTTTAGGGTTTAGGGTTTTAGGGTTTGGGGTTTGAGGGTTTAGGGTTTTAGGGTTTAGGGTTTAGGGTTTTTGGGTTTAGGGTTTTAGGGCCTCAGGACCCCAGAGGTATGTAGAAAAATTGCCTTTTGTAGGTATTGGGCCTTTATCTTACCTGCTTAGGAGGGTTTACCCCTAGGCTCCATTGTACTTCCTTTTTGTGGTTGCTGCTTAGAATCCTACAAGGGACTCCCAAAAAGGAACTAATACGGAGCCTACGGGTAATGATCGCCAATATACACTAATTATTCCTGAGGTATCATATGCCCCCCAAACCATCATTCAAACTGCTATAATAATTCCAAGCTCGGATAACAGTTTCTTGGATTGGGTTCAGGTTTCACGGTTTGGAGGGGATCCATTGTAGTGTAAAGCCCGAGAGACCCTACAAACATTGGACAAGCTGACCTCTACACAGCAGGCTGGGGTTTCCAGGTTGAGGTGTAGTACTTTTTAGGGTTTAGGGTTTAGGGTTTAGGGGTTTAGGGTTTAGAGGGTTTAGGGTTTAGGGTTTAGGGTTTAGGGTTTAGGTTCCATGAGGCTTCTGGGGCTCAGGGGTTTGCTGTCGAGGACTTATATTTCGATTGCAAGTTTCAGGTTGTAGGATTTGCGAAGTCACTGACTCGGCAAGTTAACAGGCTTTCTGATGTTGCATGAGTGGCCGCTGACCACAACTTAAAGAACCGTCAAGCTCCAAGTACAAACATCTGACCCCAGTTGGCGCCGGGCAGTTTGGCTTCCCTTTAAGGTCCACGCGCGATAACTTTAAGTTCCAACCATTGCGGGTGTTCTTAGGACGGCTGTTAGATACCCTGAAATCAAGCCCCTTCTTTGGGTCCCTATAAGCCCTAAGACCCTGAATCCTGAGGCCTTAAAACCCTAAACTCTAAACCCTGAAACCCTTAATCCGTAAAAACCCTAGATCCCCAGGACCCTAAACCCTAGGACCCTCGCCATAAACCTTGATTGTGCGACACATTCTCACCGTCATGATCTTGCAAAAGTCATCTGCATCCCGTAGGTTCCCGTAACGTGGATAGGTTCTTTAAATAGGGTCCCTCTTGGGGTTGGGTTTAGGCTTTACGGCGTCGGGCAAGTTTTGGGTTTAGCGCAGGTTCTTCAAATCAAGGTCTCAGGATTCCTGCTTATGCAAAGAACACATTCTTTTGGGGATGCCCTACGTAAGAGCTCCTACACCCTAACGCGGATATCACTTTATACTCTAGCCATAACCGGGACTACTATTCAAGTCTTTGTATGTCTTTGTCATAGTCATACTTAAGCACATGCCAACACCCGGCTTTCAATTCCTAAGCCCCAAACCCCTAAACGCGTAAACCTTAACATCCTAAACCCCTAAACCCTGAACACTAAACCCTAATCGCCTAAACCCTATAACCCCTACAACCCTTAAACCCCTAAACCCAGAACCATACACCCCGGTTTTCCTCCGGCGTTTGGGGCCTTGGCCGTGGGCCTCGCATGGACGGCGAAGAGAAATGCCGGCTGCTAGAGGTCTCCTGGGTGGGATTGGGGCTTGGGAGTTTAGGATTTTAATTCTTCTTTTACTACTACTACTACTACTACTACTACTACTACTACTACGACTACTACTACTACTAATTACTACTACTACTACTACTACTACTACTACTACTACTACTACTAGGGGTTAGGGTTTGAGGGTTTAGGGGTGTTCAGGGGGTTCAGGAGTTTGGGATTCAGGCGGCTTAGGAGTTTGGGGTTTAGCGGTTTAGGAGTTTAGGGCTTAAGGTTTGGGTGTTTTGGGGGTTTATGGGTTTGGGGCTGGGGGTTTGGAGGTTTCGGGTTTATGGGTTGTGGGTTTGGGGCTTCAGGAGTTGAGGGTTGAGGATTTAGGCTGGTAGGGTTTATGGTTAGGGTTTGGGGCTTAGGGTCTGAGGTATGGGGCAATGGGTTTAAGGGATAGAAGTTGCTCGCAGGTTTGAGCGAGGGCATCTCATAGGGCTTTAAGTAGGTGTTCTGATAGAGCGTACGAAGGTTGGTGAGGGGAGTCGGGGTAAGAGAAAGAGTGTCATGAGGGTGTCGGATGGTGTGCATGGGTTTATTCTGGAGCATCTCGTGAGAGTTTCTTGGTGGGGCTTATTTCCGAATTTGGTTTTGGGGCTCTTGGAGTGGAGTTCAGGCTGGAATCTTGGAGTTCCATAGGCGTAAAGCAGTAATGTAGGGGCCTTAATAATTTGAGTAGGGTTTCGGGGCCCATTATACCATACTTATAATAAGGAACCCGCCCAAAAAATACTATTGCTAATTATTAGGCCCCTACAGTATGCGAATCCGAGCACAGTGCCAGATCAACGCAAACAAAGGCCGTTCTTCGAAGCTGCCTTCGGCTTCAGAAGTTGAGGTCCTAGACATCTTAATCAAAACCCTGGCACCCTAAACCAAACCCCTAGAACCCTAAACCCCTAAACCCCTAGAGCCCTAAACCCTTAACCCCTAAACCCCGAAACCCTAGACCAAACCCCTATAGGACCCTAAACCCCTAAACCCTAAACCAAGCCGCCAGAACCCTAAAGCCCGAAACCCTGTTTTCAAGGCCTGGCTGGATCAGCAGGGAGTCACCTGGGCTGCGGACGCGCCTCGCCAGGGCTTTACATTTATCGTTTGCCTGGCAGGGTCTAGCGTTTCGGGGTTTAGTTGACGCTTCAGGGATTTCGGGTTCATGTAGGGTTTTAGGGGCTGGGGCTGTCGGCGTGCAGAAGTTTGATTGCTGCTTTCGGGCCTGCCACTGTGGGCTGCCGGGTGTGGCGTGTGTTCAATGTTGTCGGCTTTTCCGGAATAGCAGTTGAGTCACTCGGAAGATTGATAGAGTCTCGCTATGAACATCTTTTATCTATTCCTGGTCGCTGCTGATTTTTTCCTACTTTTCATTGCTAACATTAAGATTGTTGTGATTCTCAGTGGCTGTGTTTTCCTGCTCCATGACTGCACGGATGTTGAGGGAGTTGCTGGTGGTTCTGCTCTGATTCAGATAGCATTTGTGCCAAAAGAAGCCTCATAATCATAGATAGCCGCATGATGGTGCCCTTACAGAGGAAGCCGTACTACATACTCGCAGACTCTTCGATGCTTTCAGGTTTCAGGCAATTTCGTGGAGATTTCTTATGTTGATACCGAGCTCCATGTCGGGTCGTCTTCAATCGGGTGCAGGGCCGTCCGAATAAATAAAACAACTCCCGTTCGGACTTATGATAATTAACTATTAGTATTATCGAGAATAATCATAATTAACGATAATAATAATAATAATAATAATAGTAACACTGATAGTAATAAAATAATTTCAAGCTATCTACATGAATCCCTCCAAGCCACAGTCCCAAGCAGTTCCGCTTATTTGCACAAACGGACCTCAACCCAAAGTCCAAAACGCTTCCCCTTCAGAAGAGAGCAGAGCTGCCTACACAGCGACATGCAATACCATCGCGAACTTATATCGGGTTAACCTACAGGGCCCGAACCGACCCTAAACCCCTAAACCCCAAACCCAAACCACAGACTCCTAAACTCTAAACTCTAAACCCTAAACCCTAAACCCTAAAGGCCGTAAAACCATGGGTGATTCCCCTTTTTTTCTGTAGCCCTGGCCAGGCCCTGTCCTTCGTCGCCCACGGCGTTGTGGGTGGCATGGGCATTCTGAGCAAAAGGCGCATTCGCCCAGGCCGGGGCCTGAGGATTTCCCAGAGACTCCAATACCCCTTGATTAAGGAATATACCTTAAATTATAGTAGGATCCCGAAAAAGATTTAAGGTATATTCCGTAATTAAGGGGTATTGGAGTCTCTGGGTTATGGGGTTCAGAATTTTGGGGTTTAGAGTTTAGGGTTCAGGGTTTGGGGTTGAGGGGCTCAGCGGCAAAGCCTGTTAGGGGAGATTGCAGATACTCTTTTTTCAAGATATAGTCGGCACTGAATGCGATCGAAACCTCTAAACTCGAAGCCACGCGGCCCCCTCTGCCTTCCCGCAGCTAGTTTTCGCAAGCTGTGCCCCGCACCACAAGCCCGGCCTACCCTTTGGGGTTTAGGGTTTAGGGCCGTACTCCGAGGTGAGGTTCTGGCGAAGATCCCGAAGTCTGCCGTGCTGTCCATCAGGCTCCCCTGACCTCAGCATGTGGTCTCTTGAGCTTAGGTCCTTGTGGCCCATCTTGCTTGACTGGTTCCCTACCTTAACCCTATAGAACCT